TACAGTACTTTCTACCCTTACTGAAGCCTTGAAAGGTTGGTTACTTTTGATTATTTTTATAAAGAAATTTTTTAAAAAAAGAGGACGTGTTTAACACTATTTTTTCACGAGAGCCATTACTATAATGTCACTCCAGGAAAAATACAGTGGGATCAAACAGCTTTTTATAGGCAAATTGAGTGAGAAGGGTTGTTTCCTGCCCAGAACTGCCTGGCGTAGGCACTAGCAGGGCCAGAGGGTCTGTGCACCTGGGCCTGGCACGCTGTCCTGTGCAGGAGTTCACTGGGACCGGGGCCAGGCACAAGGTCTGGACATGAGTCTAGGGCTGCAGAGCTCTCACTCATCCCTCAGGTGTCTCTGCTTCCTCAGTGAGATGGGTGTTACCACCAGGTTGTAACCTCATGTATTTTTGGTCAAATTTTCATCATGTCTCTAAAAACATAATTAAAAAAAAATAATACAAAGGTATACATTCAATTTTATCTGTCTGCTTTCCTTCATCTTGGGGGAGAGAGGGAAGCTGCTTGCTAGTTAAACATTTACCCACTAGCAAAGGTTGGTAAACTGTCACAAACAGTATGCAAACAGGGACACCTGCCTTTTTGTAAGGCAGGATGCTGAGGGTCACCCCCTTGCTATGCTGCTGATTTAATTCAGCTCCTCTGCTGCTCCCTCAGTTCTGTCCCCAGGTCTTCTCTGGCTGGTGCTGTGAGCTGTATTAATTCATAATTGACATGGCTGGATAAGGCTGCTGAGGCTTTCAGCTCTTAGCACAGACGTAGAACCTTTGCAGTCAGTGGAACAGGCAGGACACACACTCACACAAGCAATGCTGTGCAAATGCAGAGAGGTTCATGAGGCTGTGGACAGGAAAGAAAAGCAGGAATTTTATGCACTTCTTTGTTTCCAAGCCCCCTGATCTCTACAAAAGATGCTGAAGGTCACCTCACATACAGCATCCATAACACCATGTCACCTTGCAAAGAACCTATTTTTTAAAAATACTTGTTTTGCTTCACCCACTTTCAAGCTTGAGATAATGTACAGATTTTTTTTTCTCTAAAAATACTCTACACTTTTATGCACATGTGTGAGAATATTTATTCCTCTGCTGATATCAATTATTTCTACATCTGAAATTTCAACTCTAAGACTGTTTACTTAATAAAACAGTTTTTCTGAATTGTGAGTAAACTCAGCTGAACCAGAGTTCTCAGTGCTGCACAGTCTTTCCAGATTAGATGACACTTCAGCCACAGCTCTTTTTTTCCAAAACACTATTAAGAGGCTGTTTTGAGACACATAGAAAGATTTCTCTTAATTTCAGAGAGAGGATTTCTTCTACTTCTTTCCCTGTTTGCCTTTTTTTTTTTTTTTAATTTTAAAACAGTGTGATAATTTACTCAATGAAACATTTCCTACCTCTACAGAAGACTGAAGAGAACCTGAGACCCCTTTGTTTATGGTATGTGAAACATTTCTAGCAAAACAAATGAGGAATCACTCTGAACTTGAGTGACTTCAGCGGCTGTTGGTGGAATTACAGTTCTCCCAGAGCATTTGGATTGTGGAGGATTGGGAACTCTGTGAGCTATCTCTCTCTTCCAGACCTGTGATGCTTAAGAGTTTCATCTAGGATTTATTGCAGCTTTCTAGAGTATTACCTCAAACACATAATCACATATAAGACATATTCTTATTTCTACTCTAATTGTGAGAATAATATCCCACCGACTCGATAAGAAAACTGCAAAGGACTTTGGATTACTGTGTAAATTAATTCAATGCCACATGGCACTAATTGTACACTGTCTTCTTGTACTCCACAGCAGGTAGAAGTAGCATTTGCTGTTGATATAGCCATAACAACACTGTATTCATATTAGAAATTTACACTTACACAAAGCACACGAGGAAAACAGATAATAAAAATTCTCTATAGATTTTTTTCAGATTACCAGAAAATTCATGGCTAGCAGTAAAGGCTATTAAACTACTACTGCTGTCACCTGAAGGCATTTTTTGGTACTTGAGAAAGGAAACACTTCAGTGTTAGTAACATGAGGTTAAGCCTCACACACTACATACAAAACATGTAAATATTAATTCAAGGATGAAAACATTCAGCTGAACAGGAACCATCTGGAAGAATGAGGAAGATGGATGAGAATACATTAATTATAATTTAATGTGTATAAAAATCTTGGAATGCATTTGGTCAGTCTGCTTTGCACAAAAAGCCTTCTTTTCACATTGATAATCACAATACATTTCCAGCTCCTCCTTGGACATATCTGCTTTCTGACCTCTGTTTGCCCCAGCAGAGATAGCAGGGTGACATTGTCGAGTGATAATGATAGTTCCATTTCAGGCCAGCACTTGCACAGCTCTGGCTCCAAACCCCTGGATTTGCCTCATGTGGAAAATTTTTAAGAGTAATAATATTTATAAGAATGATATAATTATTTTAAAACTATTTCCAAAGAAACCAAGCATGAGATGTTAGCATGCAGCACACTTGATCTGAAGTCACTGTTGCTTTCACTGGGGTGAAAGGTGAGTAGGACAGTTTCAAACATCTAAGCACCTACCTCCCAACTCCTAGTATTTTCAAGACAAACTAGATACCAATATTATTCAAAAATGTTAATTTTTAGTAGCCTCAATTTCCCTCGCAATTAATTTGAAGATCAATGTTTTGTCCTTCCTGAGCAGGCATGGGAAAGGCAAATGAAGGGGAGTTCTATATGGTGACAAATTCAATCCAGTGAAACTTTGGCCTCTTACATGTAGTTGGATGAAAGGAGGCACGAATGTGGACATATAGGGTCACCATTTCATAGGCTCATATTCTAATTTGAAACACTTTCAAGCTAGTATAGCTTGCAGCAGGAAATGCAATCACTAAGTCCTGTATTGCTGACCAGATACACGACAGGTGCAGAGAAACACAGAAAGAGAATGTATTTTTATGTTGCTTGAGCCACAGATCCTATTCAGCCATTAGCATGTAAATTCCTTGTCATCCTAACTGCTAAACAGCTGTGTGGTGTTAATTGGGAACAAATTCTGTCACACCAAAAGCTGTTCTTGCAAAGGAGATGTGGGGTTTGCCATAACAATCCTGATGGTTTGGACAAGCCACTTAATTTTTGTTTTCCTCTGTAAAATGAAAATATATTTTTGCTTTCTGCTATTGCTTCTGGCTTTTGTTTGTAAGCTGTCATCTCAGAGAAAAAGGCTTTCTTTAGATAGGAATCTAAATACAAGTACCTCATTAGATTTGGCTTTGTGGTGCAAGTGTAATTCAATTAATTACTGTAAGAAATATGAACCTAGTAAGGGTTATGCCCAGGATAATAAATACATAATTCCAGGGGCAAGGTGGAGCATATTTCTCTGCTGACAGCTATCCTGTCTCTGTTACACTGTGCATCTGCTTTTCCTCCCAGAGGAATGCATTCAACACTGCTACAGTGATTGCAGTCATGCCCCCACTCAGAAGCCTTTCTGCAGATGTATCCTCACACAGACAGCTTGAGTTTCAGACTGACCAAAACCACAAGACAGAAGAGAATCTCCCCAGCTCTGTGTATGTAGCCTTTAAAGCATAGTTAAACCTACAAGGCTTCTGAACTGCTCTAGACTGAACCACTGATGGATATCACTTGTGTTCCCACTGGGTCTACCAGATGCACAGGCTGTGCAGTGACATCCCTAACACGTGCCGCATCCTCCATGCTGCTGCAATACCCCACCGTGACCGCGACCCTCAGCCCCAGCTTTCTACAGCTGGCACAGCTTGCGCTGCACACACACGCCACAAAGCCGCCCGCTGCCGCTGGTGCACCAGGGATGCCAAGAGACAGCCCCGGTTCCTGCGGGCCCGACTTCTCGGGGAACGCAGAGCTTAAAGGCAGAACGGACGCTCCGGACGAGGAGGAGAAATGGAAGTGCTGGGGCTGCCTCCATAGGAACGGAGAGCGCCCCTGGGCTACCCCTATCTCCTCCCTTAAAAGCGCCCGCTGAGCTCTCCAGGGCTCAAGGGATGCTTGGTTTGGAAACGACGAGCAGCCGCGAAGGGAGAGGAGCTCAGTCGGGCCCGTCCTGTCGCGCCCCCGGCCCGTCGCTCCCGGGAGGTGGCAGTGTTCCCCCACGGATGCCACCTGCCGGCTCCGCGGCCAGGCCGGCAAGGGAGCCTCTGTTCATCTCTCTCACTCGTTTTCCGCTCATTTACGGGCAATGGATTTATCGCGCGTGATCTGATTTGTAAGAGCCCCACTGGGGCTTTTTCTCTTGCGGGCGAGAAAGTTGCGAAGTGCCGCAGCACAGCCGGAACGCCGGGATTACAGAAAGCGGTCGCATCACTGCATGCGTATTTATACACGTGTATACGCATGTATGTCTATACACATATATAAATGTATTTCAATATACACATATAGATCTAGATATGAGGCAGAGGATCTCCAAACACGGCCACAGAGAAGCGTTTAACCACAGTGCCATTTACATTTTGTTCGTGCATTTGGGAGAGGTGGGTGGAAAGACAGGTGGATGCGTGCCGGCTATCCGTGTACCACCCCGTACCCGTACACGCTCACAGGCAGTGGCCACAGTCTCTTTAAATCCTCGCTCCTTAGGGCACAGGTACGGGATTTAGGCCCCGTTGGCCAGAGCCACTCGCAGAGGTGGGCAGCTGGGATCGGAGGGTCTTTAGAACATCCTCGGACGCGCAGCGGCTTCTGACGGACCGGCCGGCCCTCACTGCTCCACCTCAAGTTTCTCTTCCCTCGTCACCCGCTCCGGCTCTTTATCAAAAGCCTCCTTCCCCTTCCCGCGGGGACCGGCGCCCGTCCGCACCCCTCAGCGCGCTGCCCGGCGGAGGGGGACCGCAGCATCCCCGCCGGGACACCGTCCCGCATCCCGGCTCCGGGCGGCGGGGTTCCGCCCCGACGGCAGCGGCCGTGGGCAGCGGGGCGGGGCAGGCAGGCACTCACCTGACGATGACATACATGACCAAGAAGTTGCCGAAGAGCCCCACGACGCAGACCACGGAGTAGAGGGCCATGATGGCGATGGCGGTAACCACGGAGGGGCCGCCGCCCGTGGGCGCGCAGGGCCCGCCGCCGCCGGCGCTGCCATTGCCGCCGCCGCAGGGCTCGGAGCGGTTCCAGCCCAGCGCCGCCGAGGCGTTGCCCCAGGCCGGGCAGGGCGGCCCGGGCGGGCGGCAGGCGGAGGCGTTGGCGGCGAACGGGACCTCCAGGGCGCCGGCCAGGAGCGGCGCGGACCCGTTGCCCAGCAGGTAGGCGACAGCCATGGCGCAGCGCTGTCAGCGCGGCCGCCCGCTCCCCACGCCCGAGGGACGCCCGGCGCGCCGCGCTGCTGCCGCGGTGTCGGCGAGGCGACAGCACCCGCCCGCCCCGACGGTGCGCCCCGCCGCTGGGTGCGGGCACATGTGTGAGGCGGGCGGGGCGGGCCGGGAGGAGGGGCCGTGTCCGCAGGAGCGGCGGGAGCCGCCTCCGCGCCCGCTGCCCGCCGCCGCTCCTCCCAGGCCGGCGGGACGCGGTGGCGGCCGCCCCCAGCGGCGAGCGGGGCGCACCTGCGGGGGGCAGCGCCGGCGGTGTGCGCCTCCCCTGCAGGTGGCACTTGAAGGCAAGGCGCTTAACATGTTCGTTCCCCAGAGACGCGGGCATCGGTGGCAAGCGCCGGAAAGACAAAACCGGCGGAGACTGACTTGGCGAGATAAAGGCCGGTGCAGAGAGGAGATCGATGCGCGAGAGATTATCGTAGTAAGACAGGGATCTTGGCAAAACGATGTCCTCAGTGATTATAGAGATAACAGAACCTTGTAATAAAATGTGACGAACTTTAGGGCAACACTTTCGGAGGGGTGGTTGTGAACAGAATTGTCCTTTAGAAATGACTCGGATCTCATGGATCCTCAGGATTTTCAGAGGACCTTCTGTTCAGAGCTCCAAGGATGTTCTCCCCTGGTTGGTGTGATTGTTATCGGATGTGATATCACAAATAAGAACGACATCAAAACCGTTCTTAAGCTGTGCACTCAATGTTACTGGGTGCTTAGTTCGCACACCGCTTGTTTTCACCGGTACCTTTTCGTGTTCAGTTGTTTCAAATGCGTGCAGAGGCGCGGGACTGCCTGATGGCTGATTATTAGGACTTAGCTCATTTACTGTCTCACTAATGAAATCAGAAGAGCTCCCTGGCAAGGCAGAAAAAATATCTCCTGGTGAACAGGAAGGTGACAGAGTAGCAGTGATTGCTCCCACTGCCTCATTGTGGATGCGCACTTATTCTGCTCACCCTGCGCGGAGCACCTCCCGCTATTTCAAGAGTGATAATGACAAAAGTAGAGAAGAAACAAGTTGCAGCCTAAGAGAAAGATCCTGGACATTTTAGTATAAGTATGTGCTTGTGCCACAAGCAGGGGGAACCAGTGCTGCTCAGGGCAGGTAACAGTAGCGGAATTGACCACACACTCTTTCGATGTATATCTGATAATTTGTGGGGAGGAAGAAGAGGGAATGGGAAAGGGGCATCACTGGACTTCGAGAGGGATATAGATCTGGAGAATTTGTATTCCTTTTTTCATTCTAAAGTGAAAATGGAAGGAGAAGGACAAGTAAGCTATTAATGGGCACTTTCAGTAGATAGCATGTATTGCTTCATGGCCAGAGAGAGTATTTTCAGCATCGTTCATTGAGTAGGAGAGAGCCCATTTAGCATTGCATTTAGGAGGAGCTTTAGAATAGGAGATATTTTTGTCTCTGGAAATAGCTATGGACAAATGAAAGCAAGAACTCAGAGATTTTACGTGGTCAAAGACACTGCTTCTTTATCCCCTGCATGTATAGTCATACACAGAGCAGGAGGAACAAGGCTTTAAAACTGGGCTTTTCTCAGAGACTTTAATCTCTGGGTATGTGCACAGAGTGTGGGAGCCTCTCTCTGTGCTTGCCCTTTGTTGCACCAAAGCCATCAGAAGAGTTTAAGGTAAGCCACAAGTACACAATTAGTATTTAGCCCTTTGAATACAACTGTGTCTGGCTGTGGAAGGGATGGGGAAGTTGGGGAGCAAAAATCAAGGCTGACAGGAGATCCATTCTGTATCTTGTGTCATAGCCAGGTTTGTATCATCCTCACTATCAGAAGGCCCTTTTGTGCATTAAAAATGACTTAAAAATTACATTAAAATGTCATTTAAAAAACCCTTAAAAACAGATGCTGAGGTAAATTGAGCTATAATACACATCTTTATGACTGCTCACAGAAAAGTGATTGCACAAAAAAAAGTATTATGCTTAAATAAATCAAACTTTTGGCAGGTGCAGATGAAAACTTAGGATGAGGAGAGGGCTGGCAAAAAGCCCTGGGAGTTGAGCCTGTTTATGACAGGCCTCATTAAACAAACTTTCAAGGTAGGGGAGTGATAGTTGAATGCACCTCTTTGGAAAGTTATTACAAGTCTTATTTCAAAGGACATAGGCAATGTGAAATAAGTGCTTAGAATAATGCTTTCAGATGGTAAAGGTCATTTTGGCTGTAATAATGTGCGAGACCCTTTCTTCAAATAATTTCAGATAGTATAGTACTGTGTAGCCAAGATTCTGGTGAAAGGGTGTTTGTGAAATTGAAGACCAGTAATTACTTCTTGTTGGTAGTAGTTCAGCTTTTTCCTTCTTCATAGAAATGAAGCAATCTTAGTCATTTGCATTATTTCTTTATTCACAGATCACCCGTGTTGCCTTTCTAGATTGTGACAGTGACTCTGCAGATAAGGGCAATCTACAGAGTGGCAAATACTATATCCATTAGTTGAAAATAAGTACTTTAAATTTCATAATCTCTGAGTTCTTCTGCCATTGTAGAAAATAAAATGTCACTTCTAAATTTAATAAATGTAGCTATAAGTGATAGTTTTTGTGTTTGCATAACAAGTCTGAAGGGTGTCAGTTGGACCACATTGATGGTTGGACTAGATGATCTTTAAGGTCTCTTCCAACCTGGACGATAGTCTTCAATTTCCTTATCTGGCAAGGCTACAAAGCAGATTCATGACATTTTGTTAAGGACTGTAGTTATTAGCTGTCCTTGATAGTTAGCTATATTCTTAACTATCCTTGACAAACTAATAATTTTACTTCTGCTGAGTTGGAGCTACATATTGAATGAGAAGAGTGTAAGATGTTCCAAAAAATGACCACTGTAGTTAATGACATAAGGGTTTAGAGGAAGTTAATGTGTGATGTAATTTAATACAATAGTAAGTGGAACAGTTCAGTTAATACAATCTTACAATTTTCTAGCTCTTAGGTATTTGGCAAGTTCAATTCCTGGTCATTGGTTAGGCTTTCCAAATCCAGTAGGTCAACAGAGGAGAGATTGCTGCAGCTCTGTGCCCTTAGGTCCAGCTAATAGCTAGACTGGGTTTGTATTCCCAATAGTCAGGTCTATAGAACCCACACATAAACATATACACACATCTGGCCCCACAGACCAGCACAGACACAAATAGCACTAACAGAAACACAAATTGCACCAACAGCTTCACCCTGCTCCCTCTCCGGCTGTTCAGGGTGAAAATCTCCTAGTGGGAATATATGTGTGTACATGTACACCATAAGGCTCTCCCAGTGAGGATCTGGATCAGACAGTTTGCCCAGTAGCTGCTCCCTGCATCCCAGCTGTTTGCACATGGACACAGGGGCCCTGAGGCTGCAGCCTTAGTGTACCCAGTGGCTGGCCTGTATCCCTCCCTTTTCCTGCCTGTATCTCTTCCTCCCTTAAGCATCTTGTGACACGTTTTTGTGCAATCCGAAGATACTCTTCTCCTGAATCCCATATTGTGTCCCATATCCCTAGCAGTGACACCCCACAGTCTGGGAAGTGCTCCAGGAAACTACTCCCCTGTGGTGTTGGTTATAGTGCTTGGCCCATGGGGCTGAAGCTCCCCTGTGACAGCCTGGGGACAGTCTAGGGAGAGATCTCATTTCTCTGATGACATTATTGGTGTTCTCCTACCCGCCCTTGTGTCCTGGGGCTCCTTCCTGTGTGAGGAGATGGGTCTTTTTTTGGGATGGTGGTTCCTCTGGTGGCTTCTGGAGTAGCCATGGCAGAGAATTATTTAGGTTCCCCCACCTAGTGCTGTCTCTGTCTCTCCCTGCACGTGTGCAGATACAGATCACATAATTTAAGAGTAATCTCTGTCAATCTCACTCTAAATACTGATTTCTCTAATATGCCAGAAAGGCAGCGTTAGGCATACACAAAGGATGCTCCTGTTGGAGAAATACTGTCCACAGAGACTGACTACTCTGCCCAATCACAGATGGTAATGTAGGGAAAAATATTTATGTGGCCATAAAACAGCTTTTGCTGATGGAAGGAAATTCAAATAGATAATTTAAATACAGTTATATACTTCTAGGAAATCCTCAGAATGCACTAATAAAATATTTGTTATGGGCCTCACAGGTTCCACAAGGCATTCAGAAATAAATGGAAAACTCTGAGCCATCATAAATTGCCCTGTGACAAATATAACTTCTAAACTACAGTGTAATGCCACTTTGATAGCACTAAAAGTAAAGCATTATGTGACACTAAGTAATTGCCACCCATTACGTGATTAATGAAATTAAATAATACAGTGTGGCAGAATAAAGAGCTGACTTTGATTCTTGGAAGGGGAGGACACTAGCAAAATCTCTACAGAATCGGCAGTGTGATATCTGGCTTTTTGATTTATCCATTTTGATTTATTTGTCAATTGTTTTGACAAATAAATTATTTTCAATACCAAAAGAAGAGGGAAAATGAGGGATTATGATTTTGAGAATTTTCCAATGTGTGTTTTGGTTAATTTTAGAAATGATGAAAAGTTACAGAATTTAAAATCTGACAAGCGCTACTTCTTTTCAAATGAGGAAATAGTCTCAATTTCCTCCTGTGTGAAGTGTGAGCTTATGATTCTTTCCATAAACCCAACTGTGGGATTTTGTTTCCTGACATGTTTATGGAATTTAACATTTCATTGTTTCTACCTGCTTACATTTCCAAAACTTTTTTGTAGGAATCCTATATGGATCTGTTTTTAGAACTGCGTTATTTTTTCTGTCCTTCAAACTCATGTCCTGTTCCCTTTTATATATTTCCTTGTTTATTATTTCCTTTGCAGCCCTAACAAGAAGTGATAAAACATACATTTGATCTATCATAGGGAAATCTGTCCAGTGTAACCCTGCTGATATAACTGCCATCATTCATGTTCCCATATGACTACTCTTAATGTGAAATAATGGGGAGTTTTGAACAAATGGATAGTTTTACTTCTAATTATTCTTGCATACAAATGCTAAAAATGATGTGCTCTTCAAATATCCAGTTTTCCCCCTCATGAAAGCATAAGCCAGAGCTGA